CTCTCTGCCGATTGATATTCAATCGGAGGGGTAAAAAAATCCATCGATATGAGAGACAGAGAGTGTCCATTTTAAGTGATAAACAAATATGCCGTACACGATATAGAAGGATTCGATCACCTTCAAATCGAGAATCGAAATCACAACTCGCATACACGGCATAATGATAGTTTCCACTCGAAACAGGACTTCATGCACATATCGTAGAGTGTTTCCCTCGTACGAACGTAGAGACAAATAGTTTGTATAATCCTCGCTATTAGTGATTCTTCGTTCATCACAGCAGTCTCGATTCACGCAACACAAGTGGATTAAATCAGCGATAATTCGTTCAATCTGTTATTGTTTAAAATTCGGCCGAAATAAATGGAGGCTCGTATAAACTCCTGTTCTGTGTATACGGGATGAATGCGCGAGTGATGGAATGTCGATTCGTTTAATACTTTTCAATTTCCGTTGAATTAGTTCATGATATCCGATATTACTGACGTTCCCAGCAATCGGAATTAATTTCTGAAATGTGATAATCCTCTCTTCATCGAAACTGATGGCTTGTTCATGATTTTCCAAGCGTGTCCGTGGCAGTTGATACGTACGGGATAGTGTGTGCAAATATGAAATAAAACATTTCGCTTGTAATTGCGGCTTTGACGTTTATCATTTATTGTACGGTTATATATTCATTGTACAAATGTCGATCGCTATGTGCAACTGTCTTGAATTGTTTTTAATTCGTATTCGTACGAGTCAGTTTTTACACATTAGTGTACGAGTATAAACTAGTGGACGCGGGACGTCTGATTTCTGGCAGTGGACCTCGAGCAGCAGTTATGCTTTGTAAGGACAAGCTTATTTTTTGATACATCGGCATCAGTTTTGACGACGCGAGCTCGCCCGTGACTTCTGTGAACGAGTACATCTCTCTGTTCGAGATGTACATCTGGCTAGTGGACGTAGTCTGCAATGTTCAGAAGTTGATAAGAAACACAGATCAGAATGTATCGTGGATCACAAAATGGATATTAAAAAAGGATTGATGATCTTTTCATCTTCATTCGCACGCGCAACGATACGTACATTTAACCCTACCACATTCGTAAAAATACTTGCTCATTCACACGATCGCATCGTGTAATTCAGAATACGAGAGAAAATTGGAAAAATTGAAACATGAAATTGATACTTCACTCTTTTGATCGTGCCTGCACATTTAACTTTAACAACTTACCATGTTCATGAAAACGCTGTTGTTCGCAAGACTGAAGTCCTCGTTATTCCCAAAGAAGTATATCTTCCTGTTAGGGCACTGCGTAGGCTGTCTAACCTTGTCTATCGTGAGGCTCGCTGCATTCAAGGGTATCGTATCAGGTGGTTCGGGTTCAAAGACAATCTCAAACTCCCTTTGCCCCATGTCACCCTCGTATCTTGCCCTTGACACTTTAAGCTCCACCTCGCAGTATCCCATGCTCGAGTTCTCCATGGTAACGAACCGATCGCGTCCATTCTCCTCCACCTCCTCCTCTAGTCGGAAGCCAACGTTCAGCTGGCCAACAATAACTCTTATCATGTCCAGCTCTCGTCTACGAATATTCCTCGAGACCACTAGATTCTCTATTCCCCTCGAGTTGAATCTGATCTCGAACGGATCGCCGCTGACGAATCTGTCGGAGATCGGGACGAAGTTCCTCCGATTCGTGCACCTCGCGTCGTTCGCATTCGGCCTGACCACCCTTCCGTTCGCGAAATAACAGCTCAGCGTGTCACTGTGTTTCGGCCGGCACTTCAACTCTGACCCGATCATAGAGCAGAAATTGTCCCCCTCGTCGACGACGTTGGCCAGAGACATGTTCACCAGGACGTTGTAAGTGCATTCTGGGCCGTATCGTTGCCAATCGGTGTTGGCCGGGACGTACGCAGCTGGAACGACAAGGAGCCTGTTAAATTGCATCGTCAGAGTAGATCACACGTGCCGAACGATGCCTTTGATTCTGTTTGCCTGTCTGTCTGTGTATGTATTAACGCGGCGTTTGCGCTCATTATATTGCGCATCGGGAATCGATTAGTCGCTATCGTCGATTATAAT